TTACGAATCAATAGAGCAGGATGTTGAAAACCTCAATCGCTAACAAACACGACAGAGGGAAAACTGAGAGGTGTTCGTTGATGAAGCTCTCGAGATGCGCCACGTACGCGATCTTTAATGTATTTGCTGGCTACTTCGAATGCGCAATGATATTGATAATTCCCAATTTTCCTTGACTCGCAACTGTCTTAGACTGATTTTTAAGGCAGTTACGAGGTCGAAGAAAATTAAATTTTGAGGTGTTCAATCTACTGAAATTCCATGGCCAAGAGATAAATTGATAAAAAATGATTCAACCGTAGAAGTGACTTGTGAACCTACCGACATTGAATAACCTTATCTGAATGTTCGGCGACTGGTAAGTAAATAAGCGGAGCCATAAGATCTCCTCGCATGTCTGTTATCACAACTCTGAAAATGATTTATTCCAAAACTGACGTACAACCTCCTCTTTATTAACGTACTAGTCTACGAAATAGAACATGGGATCGAAATAAAATAAAAATAAGCGTAAAAAATAACCTATGAACTGGTTGAGTTTTGGTAGCCCGGGCTAGTTTGCCACACGCGCAATGACCTTTGAAACCAAAAAGGGGTACCACGTGTATTGCATATCAACCTGATATTATTGTTAGTGCAGCTGGGCTATACTAGATCCACAGAGGGGCCAACATAGCGCAAAGCCTTTTTTCTTTTGCCGTTATCCAGTTTTCGCTAGAGCTTTTGGTGGAAATCGCGCGTGGAAATGAGGCTGAAGGGTAATGATTCCCCCATCTCTTTTGGAACTCCTCCGCGCCATCCTCAAAGTGCAGGATTGGTATCAGTACCAGAATCCCGCAGCGAAAACGCAATCAACTGTAGAGAACTATCCAGCAATGAAAGAGCGCAGAAAGGTAGCGCATTTTACCACGATTAGGCGTTCGGCTGGTCGCGCGCAGTGCGAGGCAGAGTATGGAGTTGGCACAGTGGTATCACTAGTTTCGTACCCGTGCAGTTTTCAGCGAAGAAAGGGCATGCTACTGCAGCTGCGGACCCATACCTCGTATGGCAAGGATTAATATCCACGGAGGTGGAGGTACAGTTTACTTACAGCACCTCTGCAACTTTCAGACTCTTCATCTCGCATCCGGTCAGGAGGTCGCCGCTCTTGTGTAGAGTATTGCAGGAAAAGGACCTATAGTGTAGTTCGCTGCGGACGGTTGGGCGTGTCAGGCGGGATGAGTTTGGCGCGGTGCCAAACCCGTTCTCCACCAGTTGTTAAAGCGAGCAAGTGATATGACTGTATCATATCGTTCGTATTACTCGTTTTCTACCACTTTTTGTCGCATGCGCGCTTCAACAAGAAGGCAGAGAACGGCTTTGACGGCCCATACTGCCTGACACGCCCAACCGTCCGCAGCGAACTAGATTATACATCTAGCATCGAGCTCCTCCTGTATTGTGAGCACTCCCACTGTTCTTGCCTGTAGATTCGTCTATTTGGGAAGTCTTTCGGAACTCTGCACTCTTTTGTTTGTGCACTTATTCGTTGATCAGTCACAGTGCTACGAAATCTCAGGAAAGTGAACTCGGGATGACACTCTTGACTGACATTAGCAGTGTGAAGTAAAACAATTGAACTAAGTATAAGACAGAAACACTTCGGATACCATACAGCGTCGTCTATTCCAAATATTTGGTGTTGAGCGTGACTAGCGCGGCCACCTAGCTCCCTTCTGACCCGTGCAACCCGCAAGGATATCGCATATGACATTACATCGAGAATCCTAGGATCGGGTAGGCGGGGCATGCAACTGGCCTTCGACTGTAGACTTGAGGAATCCGTGTGCACTGGGCTGGTGAATATTTTCATTCCTGACAGCAATATGTTGTCCGTTTTGTGTCGCATGAGGACACAGAACAAAGGGTTCCTCAGGCCAGAAACAATGTTCACGAGGCATAAACCAGTACTACCGTGTATTTCATGTTCCGGCCTCGAGCGGCCTGAAGCTTCCCTGGCCTCAGGGATAAGGACTGTGCATAATGGGGTAGATCCTTATTATTCTTCCATGGTCTGCTCTGTATGGTTATTGCATTCTCTTCAACGTAGGATCCTTTGTCAGTTCGCGCTGAAGCTAGGCGTCGGCGAATCTGCACCATCGAAGTGTAGTAACTGCGTAGGCCCCAGCCTTACTTGTTCCATTCGCAACGGCTACGGAGGAATTGATGACCGTTCCTTAATGAGCCTTTGGAGAGGTCAGGCAGAGTATGAACTCGAGGGCGGAATAAATCACCACCGCGGAAAGGCCAGTACATCATTTCTCGGACATTCGCAAGTGCTCAGGCAGAATCTAAAAGCAGGACTTAAGTGAAAAACGGGACCTCTGTCGAAGGCTTGCCGGATAAACTAGATATTTAAAGCTCGCGTTGCTGACCGCACTGTGCGCACCTCCGTCACCCATTGTGACCCTTACATAAGATACTATTCAACGAGAAGCTCTAGTTTCCTCTATTCAGAACTATTGCAAGCACATCATCCCGAAACTACCATAGTGCATACCTGTACGTTTGAAGTACCGCGTCGTAACCCTCTGCTATATGTCGTAGAAAGCGCTAGCATGATGCGTCTGTCATGACCGAAACATAGCATGTTGGCCGGAGGGATCTACTATTAAGATTCGACACTCACCTGGTGCAAACTTAATAAAGCAGTATTTGCAGTAATTGTTTGTCATTACAAATCTGCAGTAATCAGTGCGACGACCACTCATGCGTTCCTTTATGTTTTTCGTGTATCAGCATTCCACAGCTGTGACTGATGTTCGTACATCTCCAAAAAGCGAATCGTCTTGTTCCTTGGCGAGCATGATACAAACATCGGGCCCGAGCTATTCCACGTAAAAAAACAGTCCGAGCGATGGTGCTACGAAATTGGGTTTTTCAAGTGAGACAGTTGTCATTGACTCGGCCTGTGAAAGAGAACATGACTAAAGGAATGGTTGGCGTAAACGTAGACTTTCAAATAAGACTCTCCCTCCAGCCTCAAACATGAGTAGCGGGTACCAGAAGAATAACCAGTATGACACGGTGCTCTTTTCAAAACAACCAGTCGGCTGATTCATAGCCATTTCGTGCTTCCTTGCCCAACGGTAGCAGTCGAGTGTTTGACTGGAGGCGACTGGAGAGCGGAGAGGTTTTGGAGGGCGAGTCTTGGGAAAGAGGAGTGTGACAGCAGGGAGTAGAGGGTGCGCTCTTACCTGAATCCTTTAACCTTATGACCTCTGCGTGAATCTAGCACACCGGTTGCTTCGTCCCTGCGTAGATCGCTACCCCACAATTCTATCATGCAACGGGAGCTTTCGCATTTTTCTAGCTAATTCGCATTTAAAACTCGCTAGGCCTCAATTTGCGGTACCCTCCTTTTAACAGACTATAGCAGCGAGGCCGCTTCCGCATACTCCCCCTTCTTTCTGACCCATACTTTCTAGGCGAAACGAGCGGAAAGCTCACGTACCACTAGTCGTGATGCACAGTCATGAAGATGGCATCCGAGCATCCAAGCGACATTCCTAAGGCTGCGTTCAGACTTTGCATCAGAGTTTTGAGCATATAGCGACGTTTCAAGCATTAGAAGCGTAGCGTTTCGAGCTATTGGGAAAGTATTGGGTTGGCCCATAATTAATGGCGTTTTTTGTCATAAATTTTTATATGGGAAATGCCAATTGTTCCCAATATGTTCTATACTGTTTGATAGATAATTCTCTCCAAGGTATGTACTATAATTGCCTTTTCGTTATTTCCCGATTTCTGTCGATCTTCATTTCATTGAAATGGAGTGCCGGGTCGACCCAAAAGTGAGTTTTCGACAACAACTTTTTGCACTTTATCTCGGCTCTCAGAATTACAGAAGAAGCTCAAAACTTGTGGTATATATGATCAAGGGAAGGTGATATTTATGATAGCCGAAATTGGCTTCAAGCGATCAAGGATTTGAGTTTCGGACCTTGTAAATGTGCATCGCATAGGGGCCCTCTTGAAGAGCGACTGCCTGCAGAACCTATCCATTAACTTTTGAATATCTACATCATTGAGAGTGATGCTTGATTATGATAAGGAAGCATTCCATGACCTCAACGATTCCTCAATCTTTGGCATGAATCTCCGTGAATAAGGTAATTCAGTAAGCTCTCAGTTGGACTCAATAGGGCATTAGGTTCGATGCTTGTCTGTGAGGTCGAAATTGAAATCTTCGAATAACTTGAAACTGTTGTAGCATTCCTAAGAGACATAGCTCCTTGGCCATATACTTAACAAGTGGGCCTGAGAAGGTAAAGAAGAGAGGCTGTCGAAAATGCTCAATTTCGTCGACCTGACACTCCAGTTTGAGCACTTAAATATTAGTGGAAAGAGAAACTTCAAGAAAACTAAGAGGACTATCGTATAGGGCAAGGAATTCTCTGCAAAACAGTATAGAACTCAATGGCAAAACTTTTCATCTTCAGCGCGATATTTGGAGTGAGGAAAAAAACGCCATTACTTATGGGCCGACCGAACATAATTCTGATGTGCTTTTAGGAGTGCGCCACACTACGGCAGCGTTTGCAGAGTTTAGGGGAGTGTAGGTGTCCATCAAGCGTTTCAAGCGTACGTCAGCCTTTTCGGCGACTAGCCTTGGAACGCTTGTATGCTGTCGTACAGTCAAAACGCTAGATTAATACTTACGCTTTCCTGGTCGCTGGAAACGCTGATGAGGTTCGCTCAGTACGTGAAACCATGCCTATACTTTCCTAGTCGCTCAAAGCGCCAACATAGACGCGTAGCATAGACGCTTGAAACGCTTCCGCGCGCTCAAAAGGCTGACGCAAGCTGTGTGCTCCAGCTTTAGCCTTCTACAGCTAACCCACTGTTATAATGGAGTCATTACCTAGCCAGGGCATTCCACGTACAAAAAAAGTATCTCTCTTAGAGAATAAGTTTGATTCGATATGCTGTCATTTTCTTTTCTGAGTCTAGCGATTCATTCACTTCCTCCTTTCTTCTTTGAGCAAGCTTTGTGAAGTAAAAGAGTATAACAAACCGTTGTGGCCTCGTAATGACTGCACCATCTGGCCAGAATGGCAGTCGGTTACATGCAAATGGCAATTGCCCGCACCACCACTGATCAACAAGGATGTCCTAAAGCAGAGCATAGAACGTCGGGAAGTAAAGATTTCCATGTTTGCAAGGGAGCGAGAATTCAAACTCAGACTCGACCTGCTCACAGTATCCTCCAAGAAAATCACGTCTCTTATAGTACCATCATGAGTACTGAACTCCATTTCGGCACCTTTAGTAAAATATTCAATCAGGGAAGCATGCGAACTAGAGAGAGAAATCCAGACCCTTACCAATCTTGCAGTTGTCCGAATTGAAGGCCATGAGTCGTAGCGTTTTGTCGTTCGATCCGGTTGCTAACAATTCTCCAGTACCATTGAATGAAAGACAATAAACTGACCTGAAATTCTGAGTTGAATGTCGTACTTATAAAATAGCATCATTGCTAATAGTATATCCTGCCTATTCCTTCAGCTGTTGATCGTATTTGACATTTCGACACATCTGACACCTAACGGGTGAGAAAACTGCGAGATTGAAAAATGGAATCCCGGCTGTATTCGTTCCGACAGGTTGAGACAACTGTGCGCTATCCCTGCCGAAGATTACCGGATTCCGCCAGCACTTTTCGCGTGCAAAAAGTGCACGGAAACGGGACGTGGACTGGAGGAAGTGAATACCCGGTGCTTGCCTGAGACTCTCGCGCAGCGCTGCCCGGCAATGGCCAACACATCAAGGAGACAAACCATACCCTCACCTCCTGAATTCTGCTCCTTGCCGCATGTGGGAGAATGAGTTTCGTTGAAGGACCTCGGCATAGACGCAAGTGATAAGGATAAAGCGCATTCGGTACTCCGCGGGTAGCGCATTAGCCTGTGACCAGCAGCGTTTTGAATGTTCTTCAGCTTCAGCGAATAAGAAAGAATAGATATCGATCCAGCGATTAGCAGTGTCCACCAGCGTCCACCAGGGTCTACCAGCGACCATAAGTTGAGAGTATTTGTGGCAGACAACTGGTAAAGGGTGAGGGGGATAAGAGGGTAGCAGAAAGCTGATGGACAGAGAAACAGGAGGGTAGCGGCTGCTTGGTCGTAGGGGAAGTAAAAAAAACGGGAAAAAATAAAGCCGTAGCTCTCTTTGCTACCCTCATACTTCCCCATACTCTCCGCTCCTGAACGCTGCTGGTGGAAGGTGGACGCCGGTGGACGCTGCTGGTCGCTTGTGGATGCTGAATATCAAAATATAGACGCTTGATCGTACATATTTTCCTATTCACTGAAGCTGACGGACGCTCGAAACGCTGCTGGTTGCTGGACGACGCTGGTTGTCGCTGACGCAAAGTATGAACGCAGCCTGAGACTGACGGAACCTGTGCCGCGCTTGAGTTCTACTACCTTACAGCCCCTGCCGCACACTTAAGCGGAGAAAAGTGCGCGCTATAGCTGCGAACTCATTTTCCTCGCACATTGCATGATGAGATCCTCTGGGGTGTGTTTGTTCTCATGCAGAAGAAGTCGGACATTTCGTCTGTCTCTTATAGTGTATGCCATCAGAATAAGTGTTTATCCTAAACTCACCCTCTATGCTGTTTGGGACGAGATAGAAGAATTTCCGGATGTCGTATTTGTTCAGGAATGGCTGCAAATCGCTATTGAAAACGGCTTTTCATAATGATGAATGAATGCTGGTTGGAAGCTCACTTGAACCGTCGCAGATCTGGATACTTGCAAATGTGAAGTTGCTTTGAATTGGTACCCACAGCGAAATAACGACCAGTCGGATGGAAAGCTACCGCTCGTATTGCTTGGCTGTCCTCATACCTGCAGACAAAATAAGTACTGAACAATGTGCAGGCAGTTCGCAGTTTTATCCCTCGTGTCTAGTAATACAGTAAGAGTAAGATACAAACAGACCTGCACACGGGTACAAACTGAACCGGGGTCGCGGAAGTCCCATTGGGTGGCATAGACACAGGCCTAGATTGTGCCTGCGCTGTCGGGGGAGACGTCATTGTTTGACCAGCTACAGTTGAGTGCGGTCGAGGAGAGCCTTGACTGATCACGGCCATGGAAGAGGGTATCACAGTCGGAATTGTAGCGGCTATTGGCATCTGGAAAATGTTATTCTTAAATGAGCAATATTAGTTCAATTCAAAAATTCAGAAACACACATGTTGAGCGAGACGATAAAATTCCGGTTTTAGTTCGATTATGGGCTCAAGCTTCAGCATCAAAGTTTCCTGAGGTGTAAATAGAATTAGTTGGTGTGCTAGTCTCTGGGATCTCACCGTGCTTCGGGAGTTCCGGAAACAACGCAGGCAAGAAGAGAAGGGCTTTCAATACACCACGTAGCTGAAAATTCGAGGACCATGATAAGTCTCAGATGGACACGGCATGTCGTTAGCTGGAAGCCCACCGACGGTTGGGGAATAGGGTCGAAGGGAGAGGGGTAGTATTTGTTTCGCGAAAAGAATTTTGGCTGTTGACTTTTCGACTGGTTATTTCCCGTTCTATGTTCATTTCCCTCAACCACTCCCCCATCAGGCCCCGGAGCAGGAGAAGAATTATTGGAGGCTCCCGTAATCCTCATCCTCCGCTGGATAGCGTTTTTGAGGGATTCCCGGGAAAAAAAACTCGAGAAATTTTTCTGAGAAAGTGATAGCGAATTGGGGAATTCAGAAAGATGGCAGCCAGGATAGGGAATA